TTGCCTTATGTGCGAGATTGGATTTTATCAACCAGAATTTGGACAAACACACTGTCTATCATGTCCATCTGGTACCACTACGAAAAATCGTGGAACTAAAAGTATAAATGATTGCCTACCGTTTTACAAAATCGAAACTAATATTTGCGAGTCAGAATCGTGTTTGAACGGTGGAAAATGTGTACAAGAAGAGGATAGCTTTAGTTGCGAATGTCCCGACTATTACGTTGGTAATTATTTAATTTTTTTGTACATTATACATAATTTACAAGTTTCTATTTTATTAAAAAATAATCTAAAATATGTATTATAATTGTATATATAAAAGTGTGGATATATTAAAATTATTATTATTATTATTATTAGGTTCTAAGTGCGAAACATTTCGAAATCCATGCGACTCTTGGCCTTGCTTGAACGAAGGTATATGTAACGTGCAAATTTACACAAACAGCACAATATTGTACACTTGTACGTGCAAAAATGGATATTCGGGTAGCAATTGCGAGGTAAAGCAATTATTATTTATTAAAAATAAAAATGGTCTGGATAGAAATAAATTAATAGAATCTAAAATATAGCTATACATTGATGAATGTATCATTAATCCTTGCCAAAATAATGGCACATGTATAAGCACAGAAAATGATTACGCGTGCGAATGTAAGAATGGTTTTGAAGGTATATTTAAAAATTATTTTTTAAATACACGTGTTAGTAAATAATTATTTAACAAAAAGAAAAACAGAATTTTCTACGAACAAATGTATTATTTCTCAGGAGAATTTTGCGAAATTGCTGTCGATTATTGTAACCCTTTACCGTGTATGGAAGGATCTACTTGTCGCAATGTTAACGAAACCTGGCAATGTTTTTGCAAACCTGGTTTTCTTGGTCGTTATTGTGATCTGTTGCCTTGTGATTGGCTACCGTGCAATGAAAATTCATATTGTGTGAATATCGAGGAAGAAAATGCAACGAGAATGAGTTACAGGTGACTACAGATAATAGATTGTTTATTATTATTATTATTATTAAAAATTATTCATAAATAATTTCTTGATCATTAGATGCGAATGTATCGATGGCTATACTGGAGAAAATTGTACTACAAAAATTGATCATTGCCAGAATCATTCGTGTTTGAACAATGGAAAATGTATTAATAATATTTTAAATTACACATGCGCGTGTCCTATTTTATTCACAGGGCGTCATTGCGAGATCGGAAAGTATAGTCTTAATGAATACTCTTTTCTACTTCGTCTTTTTATACAGATTTTAAAGATAAAAAAAACATTTTATGCTGATTAATAATTTTTTTCTTAAATAATTTGCCGTTTCTTTATAGAATTGTCATCCGATTATGTGATACATTTCACCAAATCGGGAACCACAGATTATGTCAGTATGAAAGGTCCTACAAAAAATTTGTTAAAGGTAATAATCATCATTAGACGATAATATAAATAGGATTAATAAAAATAAATAAATAATTTATTTGTGTTTTATTAGTTAACTGCGTGTTTGTGGCTGCAATCGAAGAATACGTTCAATTATGGCACTGTATTATCATATGCTACATATTATTACGATAATGCATTCACTTTGACCGACTATAATGGGTGATAAAATATCTTTTTAATATATATTAAAATATCTTTGAATTCATATAATAAAAAAGTATTGTTATCTTGATTTTTTAGATTAGTAATATATCTCAATGGCGAGAAAATAATAACTGATATTAAGGTAAATGATGGCCATTGGCACTTCGTTTGTTTCACCTGGGAAGCAGAAAATGGTTCTTGGAATATATTTATCGATGGGATTTTAAGAGACAATGGCATTTATTTAGCGAAAGAAACTTCCATCGAAGGTAATTAAACGTTTTATATACTTTAAAAAATAATATTTTATTATTTAAAAATTGATATTTTTTTATATTATTATGTTCATTTTATTAATATTAGCAATATATCATATTAAAATGAATAAAATTACATAGGTAATGGAACTTTTGTGATTGGACAAGAGCAAGATCGTATTGGTGGAGGATTTTCAGAGTCAGAATCCTTTTTGGGAAAATTGACGTTACTGGATATTTGGAGTACAGTTTTGGCAGCAAAAGATATCAAACGTTTACTTAATACTTGCGAGAAATATCATGGTGACATAATTGCGTGGGCGCAAGTGCAACAACACATTCATGGTGACGTTACAGTAATTATATTTACATTTTTTTTTTAAAATAAATGCTTTATATTTTAATCAAAATTCTATGATAAATTTCACATTTTCTCTAATATTCTTAGATATTAAACAGTCCATTTTGTCGTGGCTGTCCTTTACCAGTTGTACCGTTTAAAGGTAATATAAACGTTAGTGAAAACGCATCGAATATCACTTATTATTGCGATAATGGTTACGTGGTTCGATATCATGGCAAAGAATACCGTTCTTTGAAAGTAAAGTGTCTCAAGCAAGGACAATGGGAAGGATATTACACACCCATTTGTACTAGTAAGCTGATTAATATAATTTCTTTATTATTATATATAATTATTATATTATAATAATTATATATATATATAATAATATTAATATATATATTATTATTATTATATATAATCTCTTTATTATTATAATTAATAATTTTTTTGTATCATATGTAACAATAACTCACATTTAAGGAAGAAAATGCGGATTCCCGGGATACTTTCCACGAGGTCGCATACACGGTAAATCATATTTATTCGGAGATGAAATACATTATTCTTGTTTAATTGGTTATGAACTTCGAGGAAATCCTCGTAGAATCTGTAACGCTGATGGAAAATGGAGTGGCTTACCCCCAGTTTGCATAGGTAAAGATCACGCCTTTATAATTACAAAATAGTTTCAATAATTTTAATAACTAATATCTTATAATTATTTATAATAGGAAAAACGTGTAAAAATTTACTGGCTCCAGAACATGGAGATATCGATTACGTGATAGAAGAATACGAAAGAGATGATCTTTCTATATTACAGGTATGATTTGTTTGCAAATACTGTGAGAATAAATAATTTTTATTAAATGTTATTCATACAAATAGGTAGGGCAGCAAATCGAATTTAAATGCGATCTTGGATATCGCTTAATAGGTGAAAAGTTTTTAACATGTTTGGAATCTGGAGTGTGGGATCATGAAAGACCTACTTGTGTGACTTATGGATGTCCAATACCAAAAGAGTAAGAAATATACTCTTTTACAAATTATTATAGTTTTATAATAAATAAACGATATTTTATATTATTTGTACAGGATTAAAAATGGTTATATAATTTCTGAAAATTCGATTAATCTACATGAGACTTTAATCGCAAAACATAACTTACAATCGATGAATGATACATTCAAGAAAAATTATGATTTTAATGATATTGTTAGTTATTCTTGCCATCCAGGATATAAATTTCAGAATAATCATAATTTGTTAAATGAATTTAAGCTTCAATGTTCAGAAAATGGTACTTGGATTGGATTTGTTCCTGACTGTGTGCCTTTAAATTGTCCTTGGCCCAAGAATATAAATAATGGTAAATTATTATTTAAAACACGAGATAACGAAACTATTGAACTTTTAGAAGAAAAACAATATCTACTAATACGAATGCAGAAATATCATTAGAAGATGATATTATCAGAGAAAACCGAAATTTGATAAAACAATTTGTCATTGGTTCTGAAATATTAATAAAATGTGATATAGGATATAAATTAATCGGCAATAGATCTAAAATTTGCACAGATAATGAAGAATGGTCATCTATGTTATCATATTGCGAACTTCAAGAATGTCCATTTTTAAATCATCCACTTTTTCAAATCCTTAATAAAGAAATAAATCCAAATAATCATACTATTTGGAAAAATGGCCGAAATAAAAAATTATATAATGATACTCATGAAAATTTCGAGGTCTTTGTGGAAGGCGATACTTATATGAAAAAAATTGTTCTCAGTTGTAATAACAATGGAAAAATTAAATTTAATAATAAAAATATTCACAACTCTATTTCTAATTTAACTTGGATTTGTAATGAGCATGCTAAATGGCAAATCATTGATACAGAATTAAATGATACTATCATTAAAATTTTATTTAATAATGGAATAGATAATATTTGTCAAACATTTATGTGTGCTTTAGTTACAGTAAGTAATGCAATTATTTTCTGAATTTAGATAAGTTTGAACCATAAAATTAACATTAACTTATTATTATTAGATTCCAGAATATAGTTATATAGTTGAGACAAATTATACAAGAACTGTTAATAGTACTATTACATTCAAATGTCATCAAGGCTATATTCTTGAAGGCAATGAAAAATCGGTTTGCTTTCCAAACAATACATGGTCTTCTACTCCTTTTTGTAAACGTAAATTATTCTAATTTTATTGCAAAATAATTATTTTTAAAAATTATTATTAATCAATAAACAAATATTTATTTTAGCTGTAATATGTGGTAAACCTCCAAAAATTGCAAATGCAGTGTTAATAGAAGATAATATTAAAGTAAAAAATTTTACATTTGGTAATATAATTACATATAAATGTTTACCTGGATATTTAATGTTTGGTCAATCTAATATAAAATGTCTTGCAAATGGAAAATGGTCTAGAATATATAGCAGATGTTCAAGTTAGTATTAACATATATATATATATATATATATGTGTGTGTATTTTTTTTTTATTTATTAATATTTATAGAACTTTCGTGTAACAAACCGAAACTCTCATTTGGTGCAACAATTCATGGTCGTTCTTATTTGTATCAAGATCAATTGACATATGTATGTCCTGGTGGTAAAAAATTGGGATTAATTACATGTCAAGCCGACGGATATTGGAGCGATCCACCAAATTGTAATGATAATTAACAAAAGAACATATTAATAAAAGTAATTATACATATAAATTTTAATAAACCATCATAGCAAATTTATTTAATCACTTTTTTTATTAAATAACCACAATTATTAAATTTTTCAGATTTTATAATTCTATTTCGTTTTACGCATAAATATGTTTCCACAAAATAATGTTATTGTACAAGTGAAATTGTTCTACTAATGATGAATTTGAATATTATATATATTTTATGTGTATTTAAATATAATTTCAGATCAAATTAAAACTAACTTTGATTAATTATTATTAATAACTCTTTAATACTGAACATGTATGTTTTCTTAATAAGAAAAAACAATATATTATAGCATATAATGCTTAAAAAATATTGAGAATGTTATAGAATTAATAGCAAGTTTTTTTCAATATAATACAATACATAAAAAGAAAATATAAATACATATAACAACACATTGATATATTGATAATTCATCACAAATACATATGTGATTATATAGTACACGGTTTCTTGATATAAATAGGATTTATACATGTATAAACGCACTGTATCAGAATAGTTGAGGAAGAGCAATGAAAGATAAAAACATGAAAATAATTTATTGTATGAAAAATTTGAGTTATTTATATTTGTCTAATATTAATATGATAAAAACGGAGCACCTTTATGATATTTAATTTGTATTAGCATGGCTACATTAAAAGGAATTATCCTTTTTTAACAGATTTTCATTGCTCAACATTAATTTCTTAGATTTATATCTAACATATTGCATAATTAACATAAAAAATTTAATGAAATATAATTTCATTCACTGAAATTTAAATGCTTATACTGGCTTTTAAATATTTGATAAAACTAATTGTACAAAATGATTGATGTAAATTCATTTAGAAGGAAAAAATATAAATATTATTAATCATTTAAAAAAAAAATACCTGAAAGCTTAGCCACACTAATGTAATAATTTATCTATATTTTTGAACACTTTTCAGAGTTCTGATTTTGCACTATGAGAATATTTAGGTTTTAGTTCTTCAATTCGTTTAATAAAATCTGTTTTTTCTATGCAACCATCACATGTTTCATCCCAATCACTTAAAATCTTCCTTAAATCACGTACTTTAAGTTTTTTCAAATCAACAGTATTAATATCAATTTGTTTTTCTAAAATTAAATAATAATATTGAATTTTAAATATTAGAAAAAGATTCAATTCAATAATATCAATATTTAAACATAAAATTAATTAAAAATAAACATACCATATCTTAAATCACATATTTGAGAATCTTTTTTTTTTCAATTTTTTCACATATTTTATTTGCAGGCATGGACCAAGATATAGGTTTACTCAATTCACTTAAAATACCTGTGGCAGATTCTTCTAGTCCACCTAAATAATAACACTAAACAAAAACAAAAATTTAATTCATTTAAATATAAATTATATATTATATTATAATATATTATATTAAATATTATTTTATTGATTTATTACATTAATTATAAAATACTTACAAATCTGTTTTCTTTAGATTTAGTACCTTTACAAAATTCTTTAAATGCTGCTTCTATTTTTTTTGTATCTATTTTCACATCTTCACTTAAAGTATTGACAAACCTTTCCACAGTATTTATACATACTAAAATATTATGAAATTTAGAAAATTAATCAATTTAAATTAAATATAAAATTAAAAAAAATAAATAATTAGGAAAAAATATTTACCTTCACATTCATCATTTTTCAAAGCTATGACAGTATATATTAATCCAATAACAATAGAAAGAGTTAATAACACTGAACTATTCATTTTATTTATTTTCTGTAAAATAATAATAATTTTTCAATTTTTATATTTTTTAATTTCGTAAAAGAATTTCGCATTATATTTAATTTAATAAAAAAAGAGCTTATAAACATTTATTACCAAATAAAGTGAAATTTTTCTTACAAAATAATTAGACAGATTAAAAAAATTAGTTAAATATGTTTTTCCTATTAAGATTTAATTATATAAACTTTTAAAAACAAATATTAACATAAAACTATTTTTATTAAAAAATTTATTAATTTAAAAATGAAAAAATAATAAAAATAAATAAAAAAAAATAATACTATTTTTAATAGGTTAAAACATATAATAACGAAACGCAACTTACGTATTACTGTGCTAATAAAGTAATTTTTATATCACATACAATATATTCTTAAATTATAAAATAAACACACTAAAACTTTTAATTCATAGACTTTTTATTATAATGAAATTCTTAATTTAACTACATAAATTTTATCCACGCTTTACTTTATACACGTTGGATTCTGTCAAAAGCCCGGAATCCCAGCTGGCGTATTCTGATTGGTTCTAATATACCATGACTCACATTTAATATCGTGCTTTGTGATTGGTTGATATGAATTGTTAAAAAATAAAAAGGGGGAATTGACCGATAGAGAATATACATATAAATGCATATATACGCAAAAGTACGAAACTAAAGAAACACGTGTATGGAATATGGCGCCACGCAGAGAATTTCGATTTAACCCCAACTCAATTAAAATATCAAAGAAAAATACTAAAAATTGGTACCAAAATTATTTCGAATGGGAAAAATTCATTTCCTTATTCACAGATCCAAAAAAATTATTTTTGATCGGAAGACTATTTATTATTTTGGAAATTATTGTGAATATATTAGTTATCGAAAAAGTACCATATACAGAAATCGATTGGAAAGCTTATATGCAAGAAGTTGAGGGCTTTTTGAATGGAACATTGGATTATTCAAGATTGAAAGGTGATACAGGACCATTAGTCTATCCTGCAGGATTTGTTTATATATTTTCTATATTATACTTTATTACGAATCATGGAACAAAGATAAAAATAGCACAATATTTCTTTGCAATTCTTTATATCGTGCTACTTATGTTGGTTTTCCGAATTTACGCGAAAACTAAAAAAGTTCCTCCATATATTTTGATCATTATGTGTTGTACATCTTATAGAGTTCATTCTATATTTGTTTTAAGACTTTTTAATGATCCAATTGCAATGATATTGTTATTTATTAGCCTTAATGCATTTTTAGATGATCAATGGTATTTAGGTAGTATTTTTTACAGCATGGCTGTGTCTGTAAAAATGAATATTTTACTATTTGCACCAGCACTTTTCATAGCTTATATATGTAATTTAGGAATGATCAAAACAATAATGCATTTATTTATATGTGCCTTAATTCAATTAATTTTAGGTTTTCCTTTTCTCTTTCATAATCCATTTGCATATATAAAAGGTGCTTTTAATTTTGGAAGAATTTTTGAATTTAAATGGACTGTAAATTGGAAATTTTTACCAGAATATGTTTTTATTCATCCATATTTTCATATATCATTGTTAATCTTACATATATTAACCTTAATTTATTGTATACCAACATGGATAAAATATATGAAATCCTATGCAAAATTAAAATATATGGAAAAAAATCTACAACCTCAATTAAAGAAGAAAGAAAAAGTAGATATGTCTACAATGAGTCAGTTGTTCATTTTTCCAATATTTGCTGCAAATTTTATTGGTATGACATTTAGTAGATCATTACATTATCAATTTTATATTTGGTATTATCATACATTGCCATATATTGCATGGTGTACAGATTATAGAACTGTAATAAAATTAACTATTTTGGGTATAATAGAATTATGTTGGAACATTTATCCGAGTACCATCTTTAGCAGTATTTCATTACATATATGTCATTTGATATTATTATTTGGTTTTATGAATAAGAAATGTACTAATGAAAAAAGAAAATAAAGCTTTTAATACAATGTATTATATATACTTTCTTTTTCATCTTTTTTAATATTGATTTAATTTAAAAATTAAATACAGTATTTACTTTCAACTTATATTTAAAAAAAAAATCTTTTGTTTTATTAAAATTTCATATGATTAATTAAATATTACAATTTCTATATATTTATTAAACTACTTATCTTCATAGATTTCTATATATATAAATATATATATTAATGATTAATATATAGATTAATATATTAATCTATAGTAGTTTTATGTAAAATGAGATTTTAAATTTAATAAATTATGTAAGTATAGATGCATTTATTTCTTATTTAAATGTTCTAATAAAAAATAAAATTCTAATTTTATTCAATAGGAACTTTTCATTTTGATAAAACGATGAAGACGTGATTGCATAAATTTAAAAAAATTTTTAATATTTTTTATCAATAAATAATGGTATTCATCACTTCTTTGAAATTAATTCATTGAAAATATTAAATTTATTTAAAAATTTTAATGAAAGAATAAAATTCCTATTTTTATGATTGTATATTAAATCAATGCCTATAACCTATTCTAAAAATATTTTTCGAAGTAATCAAATTTCATAAATTTATTTATTCAAACATTTTTTTATTATATTTTATTATATTTAATTGAAATAATTATGAATACTGAAGGTATGAATTATTTATATTTCATCTTTTATAAAAAATTGGGCACATATAAAATAAATATTTACAAATAATTATATAATATTATATTACAGAAAAATATAAAAATTTATTGTCTACGAATAGTATTTTTAATAAAAATTACACTGCATATAAGTCTCAATTTATAGGAATTGATGATAAACCTTATGAAACAAAATGTATTCTATGTGATATAAAATTCATTCTTCCTAAAAATGAAAAAGAATTCTTAACTCATTTATTTAAAAAACATCGACTTGTAATAGCAGATGTTTGGAATATTGCAAGTTTGAAAAGGTTTTATTTTATTAATTTAAATTAATTTAAATATATAAAATAATATATTTAATTTTTGTTAACAATTAAATTTTTATGAAAAATCTTAATGATTTTCAGCTATGTACATTACTGGGGTGTTAAATTTAAAGAAGAGCCTTTGACTAAATTCTGTACAACAATGTTAATGGATTGTACTCCAGATGGAAAACCAAGCAAAAATGAAAGATATTTTTTACTTTCTGATTGTATATCAGAAGATAAAATTTTAAGAGATGAAATACATCAAGCAAAATTGGTATTAATGATCTATAATAGTTTTATATATAAATTTTGTTATAGATAATCATGAAATATTAATTTTAATTTTAAGGAATGGATTTTATCAGAACAAACAAGAGAAAGAACAGATACTAATTTTAAACGTGGTTGTATTTTTTGTCGAATGGAATTTTCAGGATTACGTATTACATATATAAAACATTTAGCTCAAAAACATAATTTATATCTTGGTAAACCAGATAATTTGGTATTTATAGATGAATTTTTGGATAAAATTCAAACAACTATTGACAAGTGAGATATATAAACATATTATTATATTATATTCATATTACTAAATAGACTATGTCAACTTTTTTTTTCAGTTTGATATGCATATATTGTGAAAAATTATTTAAAGATCGAACAGTTTTAAAAGAACATATGCGAAAAAAACTACATAAAAGAATAAATCCTAATAATAAGGAATATGATAAATTTTATATAAATAATTATTTAGAACCTGGAAAATCATTAAAATATAAACAAGTAATTTTAAATATATTATATTAAAATATATTAAAATATAATACAATATATTTATAATATATTAATATAGCCATAATTTTGATTAAAATAAATTTTTTAATGCAAAATTCGACATAACTCGGCTACTATAATTAATAAGTATAATAATTAATAAGTATATTAATTATAAGTATAATTAATAAGTATATATACGTATAGTATAGTATATAAGTATATATACTATAAATATATTAATACATATTAATAAATGCTTTAATAGTAAATTTAAAAAAAATGCATAAATATTTTAATTTTTTTTATATTTAGAGTAATTATAAAGAAAATAATGTAGGAGATGAAAGTAGTGAAAACGAAGATGAAGATACATGGTCAGATTGGAATGATGAAGGCATTGGTATATCATGTTTGTTCTGTAATCACAGTGATAAGCATTTTCATCTTATTCTTCTACACATGAAGACAGAACATGATTTTGATTTTGAAATTGCATCAAAGGATTTAACATTTTATCAGAAAGTATGATAAATATTATGTATATATATATATATATATATATATATGTATGTATATATAAAATTATAAAATATTAAAATTCAAATTCTTAAATTATTCTTAAAATAGGTGAAAGTAGTTAATTATATCAAGAGGCAAATTCATTTACAAAAATGTGTTTTTTGTGAAATGAAAGTAGATAATATTTTAGAACACATGAAAAAAGAAAATCATTTTAAAATACCTTCTTCAAAAATGTGGGATCAACCAGAGTTAGTACTTTATATAAAAATATAAATCATAATTCATTAAATTAGTTCAACTTTTTATATTAATAATATAAAATTTCAGGTTTTATTTTCCTATGCATGAGAATGAATCCTTTTTGTATAATTTAGATACAAGTAGTACTAGTGATGAAGAAAACGATTTTGAAAATAATATTACAGAAGCAACATATAAAACAGTAATAAAAACTAAGTAATAAAAACTTTCCAATATAAAAAAATATTACAGATTTTGTCATCTGTATTAAAAGATAAATTTAGTAATAATTGTATAAATATTAATTGAAGTATAATCTTTTTGTAAAAAAATTAACACTTATTTATATATCTAAATATTGATAAATAGTTATATATAATTTCATTATAATACACATTACAATATTAACTATACTTTAAATAAAATAAAAGTAAATAAAATTCTATAAGAAAAATATAAGCATTAGTAAAGCAATTTTTTATTTCATAAACATTTTGATTATTAAACATTTTAAAATGTTAGAATAATTTTTCAAATTTTTAAAATGGATAATACTATGGATAATCATTTAAGAGAATATGAATAGTCTTGTAAATTGGTTTCAAAATCAAGTTTGGATTAATTTATATACTTTATAAAGATTTATCTAACATTTGTCAAACATTTTGGATAATAATAAAATATAATAATATTAATAAAAACTTTGAATAGACTTATGTTACTTGTATAAGTAGAAATATTAAGAAATATTAAGTTCATACATTGACTAGGTAATTAAGTAATGTCCATTTATTCTATTTGTAATCCACAATAGTCATTAAAATATTCTACTAATTTTTCCATTAGCACAAATTGAAGATATTCATGAAAATTCAATTCTAATGCGATTATAATTAATTTTATTATAAGTTTCGAGTGTAAATATAAATAAAAATGAATTCTTCATTAAATTTAAATGTGCTTTTCATTTTTTTATATTAACTTTGCATACTTCAATTAAGAAATATTATAATATATATATAATTTCATTATATAATAACAGGAGAAAACTCAAATTATAATTTAAATATATTCATTTTTATATTTTTTACCAATTTAATGTTAATTACTCTAATTTCAAGTAATTTATTTAATAGAAATTAAAATTTAATCATATAATGATGCAGAATAAAAAAAGATTATCGAATAAATATTTTTTAAATTCTTTTAATAATGGTATTAAAATTAAAGTAATAGGCATTATAAATACTATTGCCTTTCAGAAAGCACGAATATGTGCAGAAAAATTATATCAACATTTATCATTTAAATTTTCTGTACCACAAATTATAGAAATGTTTCAAGTAGAATGGCATGAATACATTAATAAATTAAAAAGAGTAATAATACATTACTATTATTTCAATAATATATTATATTATAATAATTTAATTATATTTTTATATATATATATATATACATATTTCTAGCAAATTGGAGGTAAAATATGGTCATTAACACATACTGTTGCTGTTTTTATAAATGACGAATATCTTGGTAATGAAGTAGAATTTTTTCATTATATAAGTCAAGATTATATCTTTAATTTACCTTTTGAAATAGAATATTATGAAAATCTTGCTATTGAATGCTCTAAACGATTTATGGAAAAATCTAAAGTAAATTGTTCATTATTAATTACAAAGAATTTTATTTATTTATTTTGATAATTTAATGATATAATGATAATTTAATGATATAAATTGTATATAAATATAATAATATTAAACTTTAGAGGAAATATGTTTATTTCACGTTTTCCGTAAATGATTCGCCTATTGGTTCCTTCTTATTTATGGTGAGAAATTCTGTATAATTTCTATAATTTGATCTTATAAAAAATTATAAAATAATCTTACAAAATAAATGTATTAAATATTACACTATTCTAGCTATATTCTGATTTGTTACCATTAACTTGTCAACATTTTTTTAAATCTTTGTACTGGATATGATGAAATAAAAGAATGTTATAAAGATGCTTATTATATAAATATGCATTTACATCGTATAGTAAAAAATGGATGGATTCAATGTGGAGGTATAATCAAATGTAATTTAAATTATTCTTTACCTTGTTCAAATATTTGTCAAATATTGCTTTTTATAGGATGTGAACATATTATATATGAAATTAATAAAAATGCAGAAAATATTAAAATACCTGATGAGTCTTACTGTATTCCTCATGATCGCAGAGGAGTTCTTTCAATGGCAAATAATGGAAAACATTCTAATGAATCACAATTTATTGTATGTTTAAAATCAAATCCTTGGATGGATCATTTTTATGTTGCTTTTGGGTAATTAATTTTATATATATATATTTATATGTATAAATATATTTAAAATTATAAGTTTAAGAATTTAATTTTAAGTATTTCTTATATAATTTCCTATATAATTAAGATATAGTTTAATGTTTATAATATTTATTGAAATGTAAATGTAAAATAATTTATGATTTGTACAAAGACAACTTATAGATGGTATTGGAACTTTAAAAACATTAGAAAATATATCAACATTTTATGAACATCCTATTGAACGAATAATAATTTCACAATGTGGAGAATATATTTTTGGTGATGAAATTAAAATGGAGACAGAATCAAAGATTTTCCCTGTTAGTATTATTATAAAATCAGTAAATTTATAAATATGTCAATCATTGTATTGTAGTCCAATGTAGCTTTTATTTTAGGAACATCAACCAGTGTGCATGGAAGGAGAATATGTAATCAATGACAATATGTTTGATTATTATTCTATTACACCATGGTTTGATAATATTGTAGATAAGATAGATGTTCGTGATACTGCATCGCTTTTGATAGCTGAACGATATTTAAATGGTCTTTATTGTCTTACAACTGATTATGAACCAGGTATTTATAAATAAAAAATTCTATCATATATATAAATATATAATATATGTTATATAATTTTTTATAGAAATGGATATGCATATTTATGAAAAAATTTATTTAACTGATATGGCAAGATATGATACAATAAAAATCAAATTTCATGATTTATTATTGAATTTTCAACCAAAAGTAATGACAGAACAAGAAAAAATAATATTTGTTTCAGAAATTTCTAAGATTATTTTAGCTTATATTTTTCGTTATGAATATAATGAAGTAAATTAATTTTAATTAAATATTAAAATTTTAGTTTATTTTATCAATTTTAAGTTTATTTTAATCAAAATTTATTATTATATAATAGAATATATTTATAATTTATTTAGTTTTGTCTGCAACACATTTCATTGAATACTCATGCAACAATACATAAAATACTAAAAATTGCGCATGACATAGCATCAAAGGCTATTAAAAAGGCTGAAGCAAAATCTATCATTTCTTTAGAATGTAACAGTTCAAAAATTACGAAGTACGTAATTTAATTTTTTATAATTTATTTTAAGAAATTTATTTTTATTCTAAATTATATTTCTATATTTTATAATTCCAGAATATTTGAAGCAAAACATGTTACTAACATATTAGTCTCTGAAGGTTGTATATCAATATTAGAAAAAATAATAAATAAAGCTATACTATGTTTGATAAGAACTTTTGAAACACAAGAATAAAAAGCAAATATTTTTATTTAAATTCATTATATTTATAATAAATTTAAAATACAAATTCAAAGATATGATTAAATATTATATTTCTAATACAAAAAAATAATTTTTTATTTTTAAAAAATTTATGTTATTTTTCTATATTATATTTTTTATATTATACACAGTACATGCAAATTTTAAATATAACACAAATATAACAACTAATATTTTGTAAAAACTGCACAACAATGAAATATTAGTTTAAAATGTTACTGTTTGATTTTAGTAAATAATTTTTTCCCACGGCCTTTAGATCCAGATTTTTTACTACTTGTACTTGATTTTTCTTCAAATAGAGAAATTTTTTCATGAAACGCATTATATAACATTTGTGCTTCATTTTTATTCCAAGTAATTCAGTAAATTCTTCCTAAAATATTAACATATATTATTCTATATTTTTAATTTATATTCTCAATAAATTTAAATTATGATTTTATACAACATACTTTAGAGAGTTTATTAAGATGATCTAATGATTGCCCTTTATTTAGTATTAAATGTAAATTTTTAGTAGTAACTCCAGGTAATTTTGAAACAAAGTCTTGAATACGAGAATTATATTTATCTACTGGTATTTCTTTATTTTCTTCAATTCCAATTTGTGCAGCTTTTATTGGATCTGGTTGATCTCTTCCTTGCTACAAATTTATTACAATATTATTATATTATATTATTATTATTAAATATTATTATTAAATTTATTATATTTAATACAGAAAAAATAAATTTAATGTATTATTAAAAATTTTTAATTTTATTTTATTACCTTTAATTCTTCGAATAATTGAGCTGTTGCATGAGGACCAGGTGACCATACGAGTTTTAAACGAGGAAAATGTAAAGTCAAAAGTTGAAGTTTTGAAGTAATGAACATATTTTGAACATCTTTGCTAGCATAGTAATAACCCTATAATTAAAAATTTTAAGTGAATTTCATAAAATTCATTTAATAAATTACAAAATTTTAATAATTAGCATTTTATAATATATAAAAATATATGTACTTGAAAACAAAATGGTTTATTTGGATCAAATTCTATTAGAAGCATTGGTTTGTTATAATGTCGTGTCATAGCAATAGCTTGATTATACAATCTTCCACTATTTAAAGAACCAATTAAATCGGAGACACTTTTTCTCTCAACACAAATGTCTGGCGATAAAATATAATCTCCCACCTAAAAAATCTGATTGTTATTTGAAGTAATTAAGATTACATTCTTTAAATCATTTAAATATTTAAGTTCTTTTATACTTGTAAGGTTACTGGTTCAATTTTCATGCCTCGTGTATATAGTATAGCGGGTAGTTCACTTCGGAATTCTCTCATATCAACTATAACAGTATTAGGAACTTCAGATATTTTTGGTAATCCACCTTTACGTGTATTCATTTCACTATCTATATCCGATTGTATTGCAAGACTTAAACAATCTTCAGTTTTTCCATCTTGATCTTCAGGAATAACCATTGTCTGAATAAAAAAAATACTGATATAATTCATATATATATGAGAATTCGTTTGAAATATAGTACACATACAGTTTTACTATTAATTAATGCATGAAATGCTTCTTTTTCTCGTCTTAATGAGGTAAGGTATTCTTGTTCTTCCACAGAGCCTCCATAAATTAAGAAATATACCTTTAAATCTATTGATGGATTGTTATTTTGATAAACCTATTAAATAGAATATAAATTTATATAGATATAAATTATTAACAATTATAATTTTTTTAATTTTATACATACTTCAATTTGTCGTATAGCAGACAGATCTGCTACATACATAATAATGTTACTTGGCATATGTTCTGTTAAAGCACGTTGCAATGCCATTGGGTCACCATTTTTTTTTAAAGATTGTATCAAAATAATAGGCATATTTTCATTTATATTTGTTAAATCTAAATCTGCAATCTAATAATAATAATTTATATTGAATTGCTTTAATTTTATATATATTATATATGTGATAAAATAATATAATATATAATAAAATTTTACTTGTGAGCATTCTTCAAATAAAGTTTGATGTTTGATTTCTTCTTTGATGACTGGATCAGATTGATTTTCCTCTTTAACTTTTTGAGATAATGTTAATACATAAGTATCTTGTTCTTCATTATTATCTTCAATTGTAGATGTACTTTCTTTTTCTATATTTGTTTCACTTTTTTTAAAATAAAAAAAATGATAAGAATTAAAGTGTTTTTCTATATATTTGTGTTTATTTTTTTTAAATAAAAGATTTTATTTTTAATATACCTTACGTTTTGCATTTCTTTATGAGAAAGTTTTTTCATTGCTTCATAAAGTAAATATTCATTGGCACCCATAATTAAATAATTCTTTAATTGATAACAAATATTACGATCATGTACCAAAATAAGAATTTTTTCAGAATTAAATCTCTTATTTTTTTTTTATTATCATTCTGAATTTCAAGTAATACTTCTGTTAGTGCTATCCATTTTGGAGTACTTTCAGGTTTCAATTCTACATAAAAATCAATTTTTACATTATAAAATTTCGAATACATATATATCATAAATATATATTATATATATGTATATAATCATAAATATTTTTTAACGAGAATTCATGCAAACTCACCATTTTTTTCATTATAAACTCTTTCTTTTGCATTTTTAAATAAAGCATCTACAGAATCTAACATCAACCAACCACTATTTTTTATAGCATATTCCATAGTACGTAAGCGATTTAACATTGAATAAAATGACACACTATCTTCATATGTTAAAGACCTTAAAAAATTATATTTTTATTTTTTTTTCTGTAGGAATAAATAAATTATTTATATTTATTTTTTGATTTCTGAAATACTTACGCAAGAAGAGCACGTAATGTTTTTAAATCAGATAACAATTGCTTTGAAGTAGAACTAAGTTGATGCCAAATAGGATCTAATTGCAACTGTAATTGCTTATGAAACTTTTTTGTTATTGCATTTTCAACATTTAAATCATCTAAATCTAACTATAAAAATAAAATATAAATGAATTTTTATCTTTTTTTTTAATTGAACATTTTAACAAAACATACTCACATATTTATTAAGCCTTTTTAATTCTTTTACAATATAATTCATTATATCAAGTAAAGAAATTTGAATGTTTAACATTTTAGGTGTAATTTTTACATGTAGTTCGATAACATCAGGCTAAAAAAATTGTTAACATAATTTTTTATATTATAATTTATAATATATTATAATATTAATAATTTTGAAATGTTATTACCTTATGTTTTTCTAAACTACTATTTATAAGAGTATGAAAACGTGGCCATAAATATAACTTTTTAACAAACAAAGCTTTCATTACTCTTTCTACTTGCATAAATCCAACAGTAAATGCCAATGATGAATTAGTAAAGGCTTTAATAAAACCAGTCTGTAAGAATTTATAAGATTAAAAAGAATATTTTTTGTAATAAGAATTCATTTTTATTTTTATATTTACTTTATTATTTTGTCTATATAAACGAAGAGCAAATGCTTCTTGATATGAATTTAAAATATTATGTGCTCTATATACAAGAATTCCAGTAACTAAATGTAGTGGAATTCTTTTTTTTAATAAATCTACTACAAGAATTGGACCCGACATAAATAATACACCACCTTCCAGATACATTACTTCCCTACAAATATTAAGAAATAATGAATAAAAATTATGTTAAAATGTTAAAATTTCGATCCAAATATATACCTTTCATCAGAAGAACATTCAGAAGTTACAACACGAGGTAATTGTTTGAGTCCATAATTTTTTAAAAGATCAATAAAATATTGTTCATCATGATTTGTAGTTCCTAAAACTATAATTAAGTTTCCAGGATCTATATAAGCTCTTAATATATTTGCAAATATTGTTTCTATACCAAGTCCTCTAAAATATAAGAAATATAAATAAAATATATTTTATATGTATAATACATAAATAATACAATAATTACTTTGCTATAATAACTAATCCATCTTCATGGAGTATTTCCAAAAATATTTGGTTTTCATATTCCAACATGATTAATTAAAGAAATTATTATATCATTATATCAAAACACATATGTTAAAATAATATATGAAAAAGTAAATCTAACAAATACCAAGTAATATATGCAGAAAATGATGATTCTTGTTCCTGAATAATAAAATTAATTATATCAAAAATAAAAAGTTATATATAAATTATTCGTTTTAATATTTCTGCATTTTAATATATACCTTATTATTATGAATTTCTTTATTATATGATATGTTTTCTGTATCTATTGTTTGATATATTAAAAGAATGTATTTACTATTTTCATGTGATGGATGCCCATAAATTCCTATACTAACTGGTCTTTTAAAACTTTAAAAAAATATTGTTATTAAGATTTATATGTAGATTAATTTGTTTATAAAAAATTTATATTTAATATACCTATCTGGGATAAGAATAGTATCTTCTCCACATGTAGCAGATTGAAGACAATATTGATCTGGTTCATAAGTTGGTTTTGTTGTTGTTTGTGAAGCATATAAATCTGCGTCTCCAGTGCTATGAGGTATAAAATAAAATTAAAAATTATATCAATAAAAAATTATATTCCCTTTTTTATTTATAATATACTAGATTTTATATAAGATATAAATAATTAATTAATTAATCACATTATTTTAATCATATTATAGTTTACTTACTCAGATTTTAATATTATTTTAATAAAACCTTCATAAGCTAAACTATAATATTTATATGAACCTCCTGGAACTTCATCAATTATATAATGTAATAATTTATCTTCATGTGATAATACATAGCATATTTGCTAAAATAAAAAATTTATTATTAAATTTTAAAGAATTCCAAATTATATGTATATATATATATATATTAAACAAACATGCTTACCAAAATAAAAAAAATAAAAATATTCTTCATAGTATAATGAATTTTAACATGATCAACATGCAACAACCATAAACTTTATAATAATCTGTAAAAATTTCATCATGAACATTTTATTTAAATAATCTTTTTCGCACATAATATTTATATAAAATTAAAGATAATAGTTAATAAAATTATAATTTATAATTAGATTTTATAAAATCATATAATATATATAATAATATTAAAAAAATTATAATTTATATATTTTAAATATTTTAAATTAATCTTTTTTTTGTAAATTTTGCATTATATACCTTTGGTTTTGTAAAAGATATTTGAGGTTAATATATTTCAAAATGATTCTTTCTAAATATTAATATTTTTTGTAAAAATAACATTATGTATATCTTTCTAAATACATTACAAAATATTTTATAAATGATAAAAAATTTACTTATGTTATGTATACAATTTTGTAATTAAAATTCATAAAATTGCATTTATCAAATAAAGTTTAGCAGATGTCACTTAAAATATATTCACGTAAGTGAATTTTTTAATTTTTTTTATTTAAATTTAAAAAAAAACAACATATATTATTTAAATTTGTTGTTACTTAAATTAAATTATGCATGTATTGATAATCATATTACATATTTTTCATTATTTTTATAATTTATCTTTATATATTGAACAAAATAATTGCAAATATTTTTATATATTAATAATATATTTTCTTATATTTCTTTTAAGATATAAAATTAAAAACAAACATTGATATACATTGATAATATAAGATAAAAAAATATAATTTTTGTTTAAAATTAAATAATAAATTAGTGTAATTTTTATGCAATATAATATTTATAACTTTAAAAGTAAAAACATAGATTATTTTATAAAAAAATAATTTTTTTAAATCTAAAAATTTGTTAAAATTGATATAGACAGTTATACATATATCAACATAGAAATTAATACATTCAGGATTAAATTAATAATTACAAATTTTTTGAAATAATTTTATAAGGAATTAAAAATACATAATAAAAATGTAACCTGTCTATACATATATATAATAAATTTTTACTATGACACGTATCAAAGCACTCTTTTAAAAATTCCTTGCTGTTTATACTAGGTACTCTTCGTAATTAAACATGATATCCGGTACATCACTATTAGGAAATGAGGTTTAATAATTATTGCTTTATAGTAGAAATTATTAGTTTTAATTAATTTTTTAAAAAAATTATTTGTTTATTTAAATAAAAGAAAATATATTGTGTTTTTTAATGAAATTCTTCTTTATAATTTATTATTTAAATATGTATAATACTACTGATATAGTTTTTATATGTAATTTAAAGGTAAAAATAATTGTGAAGTATAATAATAATGACATTATGAATATTTTCACAATGATAAACAAAATTTTATAATTTATTATTATATCAATCAAAAAATTAAATAATAATAATACTTAATATGGTTAGTTTCAATCCTATTTAGTGAAATAATATTGTATTGTTTTCATGATGGAAAAAATTCATATTTTATATGCATATTTTATATTGCACAAGTAATATGTTATCAGAAGGTATTAAAAGATTGTTATCATATATATGTTTTTTGTTACTAATAGTCCGTCGAAATACAACGCGGTTATTTCAATTTTGCCAGTGCAATAGGATCGGCCGGTATATACTTTTTCCTACATCGATATAAGCTACCAGACCGGTAATAGTCTCTCTTTCTCACAGGGTGTAAACAGGCCTATGACGAGTCTGCAGGAAGGAAAAAGAGGGGGTGAGGTAACGCGAGTGAGAGTGTCGACTAAGGACTCCTGGGTAGTGATGTGTATGGCGCTTTATTATATAGCGATGGGAGCAATATCCTCTTGATCCATTTTCAATACTTCGATAGATGACTTAAGATCAATTATGAATATAAATAATAATATTTTATAATAATAATAATATTTATAATAATAATAGTAATATTTTAGAAATTCTTCATATCTTAATAAGTCATTTGAGAATCATATTATTATATTTGTAATTTAAAAATTAATTTATTAAAAAATATAATTATATAGATGTATAAATAAATGTATATATTATACACGTAGCAATATATACATAATAGGAAGTAAAATTACTTTGATAATTATAAGTACAATAATCATTTAATTTATCTATCATACATTGAATTTTATAAATACTTTAGATTCTTATTAAATATTATTAATAATATATATATATTTGAATTTTGCAAAAAATAAGATTTATTTATCGAACATCTTGAAAATACAAATTCCTCCTGGATCAACCCTATCACTAAGCAGTATGCATGTGTGTACGAATAAAGAAACTTAGGTACGCGGTGAATCGAGCCTAAGCATACTGGAGTGGGGACAAGAGGGAAGGGAGAATGGCGGAGGGTCAAAAAATATGTAGGTGCGCGCGCAGCTGCTTTGTCTCTGTGTCGTTGTATGGTGGGGAGTTGGCCGGACCACGAGGGGCCACAGGGGTCCGTGAGCGGACCATGGCGGACCAAAGGCGACTGCATCCTTTCAGTCGGCCGCTGAACCCGCGCGCCGTGCGGTTGCTCGTGTGTGTATTGCACTTGACTTCGATTTATCGTGTAACATTCTTTTTTTATTCTCTACCGCAGGACTACGCGTGTGAGGTTTTTCTATTTGCCGGTTATCTATCCATATCTGCAAAGGTAACCAGACAAAGAGAAACGACAAAGCTTCATTTCAAAGACCTTTCCTGATAAGCAGGATTACGGACACACGCTTACGGATTTTTTGGTGTACATCTCTAGATTGTTTTCGTGCGCGGGCGTAACGCCGACGTGAAGTTCTTCTGCATGGTAAGTATCAAAAGTTTCTTATTTTATAAATTTTATCACATCACGAATGTATTGTGTTTCTTTTACCGGTTTCGAAATGTCATAACTTCTTATTTGCTAAAAAGAGTATATAGTCCTTGCCCCGCGGTTTCTTTTGTCTTGCTTTATAAAAGGATATTTCATTTTGTTTAGAGAATTCAATTCAATTAGATATTGCCAACGAATTCGTTCAAAAGAAAAAGAACATTGGGCAAGGTTTTCACACGTGTATGCAAGTATAGCTTCGAGATATGATAAAGTGACGTAATGAGGAAAAAAGAGAATTCGAGGTAGGTTAGGATTTCGATTGAAAAACACTGTACTGCTTTTACCGCGAAGATACCGCATATTTGTTATAAGAATATAACATAACGAAACTAAGTGATATTAAGATGAAACAATATCGTATATTCTTTGTTTCATTTTCTATTCTGTTATATGCTTCTAGTTCATTATAATAAATAGGTAAAAATAGATCAGTTTTATAACAAAAGTAATTAAAGAAAATAATTAAAAAAATATAAACTCCGAAAGAATAGTAAATTTTATTTTATAATTTTATTTTATTAATTTACTAACGGAAAATAGAGGAGAAAAATCATACTATATAAAAAAATAAAATACAAATTAAATGATTATAAAAAGATAATAAAAGAGATATCTGTTTCAAACTATATGTATTTTATATATATAATATATATAATATATATATAATAAGGGTTTTGTTTTTGTTATTTCTATATAAGTGTGTGACTTTATATATGCACTACCAAAATGAATATTGTTATGCATATACTATTTGAAAGATGGATATACAATTAGTGCGCTTGCGTGTATGCATAATATTGGTGGTGCTTTCAGCAACAAAAGAGTATGAAACTGTGCGTAATTATATCATATAATCGTAAGGTACTTGACGTAGTATTCGAAATGCGTCTTCAATGCAATGAATATCCGTTTCTTTATCCGTTTATTCATGTTATTTTCTATAGACAAAAATTATATAAAAAAAAATCTTTCGTTGAGGAATATATGGTGGAGAGATAAAAAAATTTTGAAATTTGAGAGAAATTATAAATTATATTTAATTTTAATTACCAACAAGAATATTGAGATAAATTAGATATGAAATATTGAAATACTTCTGATAAAAAAGAATATATTATTTTTTTACATTTCTTTTTTTTGATTGATAATTTGAAATAAGATAAAGTAATAAAGAGGAAAAAACTATTGTACTAAAAATTCTAAATATTTTTATTATATATAAGTAATTTTATATAAAGTAATAAAAATTATAGAATTTTATAAAATTTATGAAAAGTTTTCATTAATATTAGACACACAATAAACATTCTATTGTTTCATGTCTCTAATTTTATCGAAAGAATAAATGATCACTATAATGAATTTTAAAAAAAAAAATTCTCGTTAGGAAACTAAATGATTATATTTGATTGCATTTATCTCGTGTATTTTTCTATATTGGCATTTTATTAATTTCTTCAAAATAACTTTATTCATATAGAGATTCATATAGAGTTGGTATACCACGATAATCACAATTGTATATTAGATATGAAAAATGAATTTTATTGCGATTTAGTTCTTTTTTTTTTTAAACGGCCCGTGGCAGAAATTTAAAGATGTAGCAAAGAATAAAGAAATAAAAAAAAGAGAAAAAGATAAATTATAAATTATCGAGTCTTAAATTTTTAATTAAATAACGTTTGTAATGGAATAATTATATATTTTCTTCATGAATCAATTATTTGAAAAAAAATCATAAGATCTTTATTATTGATATAGATATAAGAAAAATATAATTATAAGAATAATTTGAACAATAATTTAAAAAATTATTTAACAAAATTATAAATTTAAATTTCATGTAATAATGAAAATGTTAATAAATTTCTATTATTTTCATTTGAATGAGAATACTTGAAATAATTTTAAATATCCTTTTCAATTTTATTTTAATAAAAGATTATTAATTATTTGAACATTAATATCGATTTCTGGTTTTACTACGACAAATAAAAATGTTTGATTAGTACAGATCTTTAATACTGTACATAAATTCTTTTTTAAATTGTTTAATGAAAGAAATAAACAATGATGAAATGCTATGCAACTATTTATATTTTAAAGTACTTAAACATATTTGTATGAATGAACAGAATGACAGATACAATCTTGAATTTAAATATGATTCGAGTGGAAATATTTTTTATTATATTCTGACATTTATTTGAATATCGATTTATCCCTTTGATTCTTTCGCTTTCCTCCATAATGTTCTGTTTATTCTTTTCTATTTTTTTTTTTTTTGCGTTTTTTAAACTTAATTTTAATAGAATAAAAATTATATTTAGAATAGAATAATAAAGATTTTTTATTATTAATAAAAAGACGAATCGAATGTGCTATAAAATATCGTCTCTATTCGCTCTTATGAAAAGATTTGGTAGAATTAATTTTCACGTTTTTCACGTTGTCGTATACAAGGATATTAAATTGCGAGTAATTTAGAAGAGCGCGAATAGTACACGCGATCTAAATTTAATGAAACTTTGCTCTCGAACGAGAGGGAGATCTCGGAAGATCTCGATACTGGTCCGGAGTTTGATCTCAGGGCTAGCCATGAACAGCAACTCTCGAGTTGTGCCAACTCTCCAACACTAGTGTCGCAGTACGACAATCGATCTCTCGGCTAGAACACGTATACGGAACGCATTTTCAGGTCTCGTTAATCTTATCCGTCGCGTTCGATGGATCGGTAAATTTCTACATCGTTTTACACGGGGGTAGAAACGAATAATTGGTGTTATTAACCGCGAAGATTTATTGAAGCTGATAAGTAGAAGAAGAGAGTTGAGCAAACACTAATATTGGAATATAGAATATTAATACAATAAAATATAATATTATTTCTTTTTCTTCTTCTTCTTCTCTTTTTTTTCTTCTTCCTAATATAATCAGTAATTCCCGTTTTTCTATCGTTTATCGAAATTGAATCATAAGAAGAGATTATTTTAATTATCTGAAAATTTAAACACTAGCTTTGATGAATCATATATATACCATATGAATTTTTTTCTACCTTAAAGATTTAATCTTCCAATTAAATAGCACAAAAAAAAACACATATAAAATCCCATTTATTAGGTTCACTATAAACAGATTTTATCAATAAATTGAGATGGAAATCACTTTTACTTTGATGGTTCTCACGATAAAAATAATCGATTTCACAAATATATGAAAGATTTAAAGGTTTATCTTAATTCTCAACTTTTTCATAACATTTTTCATACATATAATTAGAATTCAGAGATTCCAATTCACTAAAGTATCTTGTATCTTAGTAGAATTTGTAGGAATTAAGTTTGAAGGTTCTTTTTTCCCCTTAAAAGATCAATTTTCTTAGTATTTAATTGAAAAGGATATCGTTACATTGATTATTAATTAAAATTTCCAATTTTTTTTTTTTTTTGAATCATAGGATTTGCAAGGGTGACTGCACCGATGGCCTTATTTCCCGCCATCTCAGTTTTACGACTTTTCCTGTATATACATAAGATATACGGAGAATTACGATCGGTCGGGTACTTTACTACTTTTCAGGATTGTGCACGCTGATAAAAGACAAAGCCAATATTTAGATTCGTTATCGATTGAACCTTAAAACTTGCAGGATTCATAATCAGACCAACGCCATAGGCTTGTCTTTTAGATCAATTTTCTTATGCTCGAGCACGATCCTATTTGAACCTTTCGAAAATTCTTCACCGAATAATAAATTTCGATCGTATTCGCATTTTTCACAATTATATATTTATTATGTTATTGTATAAATAGGAAAACGCTAAAGATATATTTTAGGTTGAATAATATCATAAATGATTTATTCTCCGATCATCTAACAGCTAATACTCGGTTGGATGACCAACCACCATCACCTTTGAACTGTGGAGAAAGTGGAAAGACAAGAAATCCTGTAAATCGTGTTATCTATATCGATAACGAGTCATGAAAAATATTTATTTCGTAATTAGTTAGATAAATACTGAAAATATTAAGTTTGAATTTAATATTTCGATTTTTATTTAAAGATTGTTCAATTTCAAATTTGCAGTAGAAAGTAAAAAAAAACTTTTATCATTTGCATCTTTCTTTTTCTAAGTATTTCATACATTTCTTTCTATATACAATCACGTTGTATTCTGAATATATATATATTAATATCTATTTTGCTAATTTTAGTCAAAGTGCATTTTTATTCTTGTTACATTTAATAAAATCTTCAATTAAAATATTATCAAGAATTCAGAGAAGTAACGACGTAAAACGAAGTAAAATGCAGGACTTCTTCTTGATCGAGAAGTTTATCTTCTTCCTCAGACTTGTTTTTCAACTTTCGACCACGTATTCTTTCTTTTTTTTCTTCCTACCGGTGGTTCGTGTCAAGTCCTGCAACACTTTGCAAAAATAAATTATGTTCGTAACGCAACGCGACTAGATCTTAAATCTTCGAAACCGGCCTTAAATCTCGATCGTCCCACATGTTTTGTTGTGTGCGTATATGTAGATGCCCACGGAGGACCGGAACATGAACGAAAACTGGTGCTCGAATGAAAAAGGAATCAGTCGCTGGACAGGTCAGAAAAATTCGTCTCTTTGAATAATTTATTCGGGTTAAAAACGAAAATACCGGCGATATTCAAATTAACGTGGAAAAAAGAAAAAAAAAGCTGACACATCTCTTTGTATTGTATTGTAGAAAAATTAGCTTGGAGAAAATGATGCTGCGAATGAAACGATTTATTTTTAAATTAATTATTATTTTTATTATTTTAATGTTGTTTTTGTAATATAATACTATTAAAATCATATCGATTTTTTTATTTTAAATATATAACTGACATTCTTTATTAATTGTTATTCTTTGTTAATGTTATCACAGAGTTATTATTTGGAGTTGTTTCATTTATCATTATCATCTACGTTTAATTTCTAACAATTCTTTTTATTAATTCAAGAGAGATAACAATTTCATTATTATTAAAGTATTATTAAAATATTGTAGAATATATCATTTTTATTAATTGAAGATTAATATTTAATCTTTAGTTTCTTTTCTTTTATATAAATTATACGGTATAAATGGAAAATATTTTAAATTCAGACGTACAAAGGATAATCTGATAAATCTTTTAAAAGAAGTAAAAAAAAAAAAAAAAAAAAGAAGAGCAGACGAAGAGAAATAAATTACAAAGATATTTCGTATTCAGAAGGAAACAAATGGGGAAAGTCGACGGGCCTGTTCCATCTCGGATTTGTCAAGCCACAATACGTTGGCCCTTGCATTCAGCTTTGTGTGGGTCTTTAATTGGCCATATTTTTAACTCCGAGCTGGGACTGGCTCACAGCGATAATTTTTTCTTTCGTTCCCTGCACTTACTACGCGTTTCTGTTTCTTCATCGTGAAATTTACTGCCTCGCCTTGCATGCTTAAGTTCATAATAAACTGCGAAACAGCTGGAAATTTGTATAAATGGAAATCGATAGAAAAATATTTCGAGATACGTAATATTAATTTTTTTTCTAAATTTGCATATTTCTCTTTTCTTCTTCTTCTTCTTCTTCTTTTTTTTTTCGTATTACGATTAATCTTAAAAAATCTCGTAATTTAAAAGATTCTTTAAGATAGATAATATAAAAAAAAAGGAAAGATTAATTGTTTTATTATATATAGAAAAATTCGATCCATTTTAAACATTTTAGATAATTGTACACAATTTTTTATATAATTATTCTATAGTATCATTTCTGGGTCACCCTATACTATAAAAGAAATCATTCAGGGAGATCAAGCTCGATATAACAAAGGGGAAGAAAAGAGAAATGAAAATAGCGGAAAACCGTGTTTGTCATTGAAAAGGTATAGGAACCGTGCCAAAAATTCTGAAACGGCGTGGCGTCTACTTAACCGCAGGCAGACAAGAGGGGCATTGTTCCCGCTTCGGTGAAATCAGTTCCGAGTACCGGTGTATCATTGTCAATTGTAAGAGGGTTTCTTTTCCGCATGAATCCACCACAGTACAGAAATCCATCTCCTATGATTTATCCCAGTTTCTCGTTAATCGTCAAGTAGCCTGATAAAAATCCTTGCCAAACATTTCAATACATACTTCGTTTCGATCTATTTGTCCGTACACCTGCATCCCTTTCCATCCTACACTATATATATATATATCGATCGTTTTTCCATATGACGTCATATAGTGGACAGCTCCTATTGGCTTATCGGTGGTGTACGTATGGCGTCTCGTTACCTTGTACCCTCGGAGCAGCACAGGAATCAGAACAGGATCGACACGATGGTAAATGGAGGGAAAGATGCATGGTTGAGTAGCATGGTGGGAGGACGAAGCGGGATATTGTCGAGGCGTAACAGATCAGAGTGAAAGTTGAGGCACGGCTCGCAAGGAACGGAACGGCGGCTGCTCATCGACTCTTTCGTCTCTTTCTCTTTCGTTTGTTCTTTCCCCATTGCGACGTACGATGGAAGAAGAGGGGAAGAAGAGCCGGAATCACGAGTTGAACCGGAGCCCGAAACGATCGTGTGCATGCTTCGTGCCTTTGACTTCTCTCGACGCAACGATTACGCGATTATATCACGGCGTGTCCCGTTTCTTTTAAAAAGGAAAACCTCCCCCTTCTCTCTGGCCCTCCCCAGTCTGTATGTAATATCGAGAGCTTGTCTCTTTCTCGTTCTCTTTCTATGGCTCCCTCTTTCTATGCCGCTCTCTCTCTCCCTCAATCGACGTTACATCCTTTCGTCACGATTCGTGCTGACGTCCCATCGAGCGGGTAGTATGCACTTCCGACCAACTGGTCAACCACTCCACACGCCACTTACGCACTTAGACCCGACGAAAGGGTCCTCACGGCTGTTTGAGTCTATTTTTATCATCGGGATTTCTCCCCGTGTATGTATCTCGATGGCTCGATGTATGCATATCATTTCACTTTTTGCTTATTTCAGATTCAGGATCAAGGCGTGAAACTTTGATACTATTTTTCATTTATGCGCGTGAATTAATTGAACTTTGATCTTGATTTAATATAGGCGATAGTCTTAGAATTTTTGTATAGAAATCTTTCAAGTAATATTAATTAGTAATATCATTTTCTATCTTCAGTTTCACAATAATTAAACAAATTTTTTACAATACATATTGTAAGATATAATAAATGTTATTTTTATTCTTCGAAAAATCACATTTTAAACAGGAAAACCTAAAAATTCAAAATTTTAAATGTAATAATCAAATTAACAATCAAGAATTTCATAAAATTTGATAAATTAAAAAGATTTGTAAGAAGACTATTAATAAAGGACTGACCTTAACCTCAATTTTTGCATTGAAAGAAAAAAAGTAGAAAGAAAAAGGTATTTAAATGAAAGCAAAGTATCCGGAAGCATAGCTAAATATTTAGTAAAGAATCAAATTTCACAACGTATATAATTGCTGAATCAGAAATTGTACAGCTGTTAAAGTCAATGACTCACTATAACTACATTCAAATTTGACAGTGACACGACGCTGGTTTCGTCTATAAATTGGATCCATTTATAGACTAGGGAAAAGACAGGATTTATTCGAACGTTTTCAGGATGTCATGAATTTTGTGTTTGAACAGATGTCACATAGGCGATGTAAAATATTAGGTAGAAATATTTTTATCCTCTCAAAATCAAGTAACCATTCACGCACGTATATCTTGCAAATTGAGAAAACTAATTAATATGATAACTTAATTTTTGATATAACTAATTTATAGTGAATTATTTTTACATATACGATTATTCCATAAAAAATTATATTCAAGAGTTTGTTTTAAAAAAAGGAATTTATGTTATTTTTTCTAAACAATTAATTTTTTCAAACAGAATTATTTTTATAGTATAAAGATTTTAATTCTAATTGTATATGTAAATAGTTCTATTGTTAAAAGAATTTAAAAGATCAAAGATAAAATATAATTTTAAAAAAATATATCAATTAATAATATAAAAGAAATATAGTTTCTTTTGAGAAAAGAGAGATATATGCATAACCTTGAAGTTTTTGAAGTCTCTACTTCCGGAACAAACACATATGTACATCAGCTGTTCGAAATCATCTCAACTTAGTTGACGTGTCGAAATTTTAATTTTTTTTTCAAGCATATTTTTAAATATATCTTTCGAAAATCTTCTATCCAAAATTTTGTGATTTTCTTGAAAGCCGCGTCCTATAGATTAAAAATTCATATTTTAATTTAATATTGTCTAATATTAATATTAATATTAATATTAATTTTATAATGTTTAATAATGTAATTTCGATACATTACCATAGACGATACGTATTACGAATCAAAAATAGCAACGTCAAACACATTTCTAGAGAAAGCGATAGTGTTTTATTTTATCACGGGAACACGGAACATTTAATCGTAAAAGTTCTCATAAGTAAGTCGTGTTGCAGAGTGAAACAATGGTTGGTATTCGGAACGCGTGCATTTATTTAAATCGCGGAGAGCAAGTGTTGCTCCTTACGTACGGTCTGCGCAGCGAAGAGGTTAAATATATCTGGCCTGGCCTAACCGTTCCTTCTATCCTCATTCCTTTCGAATGGTCAACTCACTGCTATGGTACTACGTACATACTCGTATCGAAATGGATTTTAGTGTGTATACGTACTTCGGTTTACAACTGAAGTTCGTGTTGCTTCACGAGTAAAACATCGACGAAGGATAAACGGACGATCATTCGATTGGATGCATACGTTGAAACATCAACCACTTTCTTTTTGGAAGATTATAGTAACAAAATTTCTTCGATTTCTTCACAATCTTTCATGTTGCGATTATAACTTTCTGTTAAGCGGCCATTTGTAAATACTTTTCTCTCTGATATCGATCGCTCGATTGAGATTAAAAAAGAATTGTATCGATTCTGATCGATTCTCGAGAAAAGAGCTACACGACATCTCGCGTCACTGTTTTAAGTGAAGTTTGGCGATAATCGAATTGACGAAAGCGTGAATCGATTGTGAAATTTGCCTATTTCTCGATGTAAAGTACGAAAATTTATTTCGATTCGCGTTTGTATAGGTTAGTTGTGAATAAATAAATTGAAAATTTTCAATAAATGATTGTTTCGAATTTGATAAGAATTATATTATTAGAATATATAAAAAAAGATTGGAAATATTCAGTTAAATATTAGAAAAAAATATATTAAATATTTTATTTTAATTGGAGTTTAATTTTCAAGTGTTGAAATCTGCAGTGATATAAACTTATCGAGTTAACCTAACTTTACAAGAATAAATCGTGTATCGCTTGAGAGTTTGATTTACAAATTCATTATCAGTGTAAACAAATGGTAAAATAGTAACTAACTAAATATTGAATATTGCATTCTGAATTTTTTTTTAATAAATAGATTAAAAAGATAATCTTATTCTCGTCTAAAATATCCCAATTTTTGGTACATGTCTCCGAATAAAGATGCGATATATAACCAATAAAATTGGACGATTGATTCTTTATGAAGAAGAAATAAATAAAAAACTTGAAATAAAATGTTTTTAAATAGGATTATCGGCATTTTATAAAAATCGCATTGAAAATTAAAAATAAAATATCAAATATCGAATGGAATATTCATTAAAAGAACACTTTCATTCACGAGACGACTTTAACGATATCATAAATTTGTAGGGAATTTCACTTTTCATTGCCACTGATCGCGTTAATCGAGATTTATTAGACGCCTTTTATAGTTAGATCTTCTCCACCGTAGCCTGAAAAAAATCAAAGTGATTAACGTGTATAGCATCGTTCATTAAATATCGAGTTAACTACGACGCGCTTGTCGATCGATTTAACAAGGCATAAATAAGATTAATCCGCCGATTTGACGGATGCGTTGTTAATTCGTTTAATTGCCGTTTATATCACGATATAATATACGTCCTTTTGACGTTCGAATATTTAGGTTGAGAGATTACGACCAATATTTTTATGGCTGGTCAATAAACTAAGAACTGCAAGAAGAAGCTGTTAATAGAGACAAACGTATAATGGCCGGTAAATTGGCTCTGATATACTTTGTTCGTGATACATATTATACATAGTTTCATTTGCAATTTCGTGCTTCGTCTTTGTCTTAATTCGAACGGATCGAGAAAACGCTTTCTTTCAAGACGAATGGATTCGTCATTGGAGAAATAGGGCCACCGATTGCTGCCGGATATCTAACCATAAGCGTTTACAAATCGCTTGGAAGTTATTAATAAATACATGTCGATATTGTATCTTTATGTAGAGAGTGTTGCAGAAGCCGAGATTTCAAATTGGAGACAAGTCAAATGACATGGGATATATTCTTAAGTTACATATTCCACTATATATCTATGGATTACGTTCTCCAAGGAGATCGAGAGATATCGAAGAGTTACCCATTATGGTCAGTTGATGAGATTTAATATTTATGCATTCTAATTACATTCTTTCAATTTTCTTATTCTATCTTATTTCTAGTTGCTGTTTCTACAACTTCCAATGCTTATTTATTTTAATAATTGATATATTACATTGCACTCCCGTGTTGTACAAAATGATCGTTTCAATTTTACTTGCTTTAAATGGACACGTTATATGGAATATTAATCAATGGGGACAGGCGTTATCAAGGTGTTCGTGGTAATACCAATTTACTGTACAGATATACGGGAAACTTGTTATCGACCGTCTTAATAAACGGTGTGAACGTTGCTTTAAGTAACTTCGCGTTACGCAAACGACTTGCACTTTCGTATTGCTTTTTTCTTCCCACATCTCTCGTATACGAATACACCCACTAGTGTCTGCTCGCTACACATCTCACTTTCTTGCTTTATAATACATTTCTCCTCGCCACTTTTTCCGCAAATCGACATTTGCGTTACTTATACCTACGCGAAAAGTTATTCTCGGCACGACTTTCCGAGTATTGATATGGTGCTATCACTGGTTGTTCATAATAAATTTCTCAGAATTCGCGAATATCGAAGGGAGTCTTATAACATCTACAATGTTGTTCAATCGTCTTCAATTGTTTTAAAGAAAAAAGTATTAAAAATTAGTTTGTCATCATAATACACTTCATTAAAGCTGGAAAATTAAACATAAATTGATGTATTGAAATATTTTCACAAATATCTTCATATTTTGAAAATTTAATTTTATTTAACAGTTAAGCCATACAAAAAAATTCATACATGTTATACTCGAATTTGATATAAATAAAATATTTTTTTCTCTATTCTATTTAATCAACAAGATATCTCATCTGTTCAACGGGATAGATAAGTCTCTCCAATTCCATTTCAAGCCGGATGAATGAAAGTGCAGCTAGTAGTGAAATCAATATTCCTCTTTCTCGACCAACACACTCTTGCGATATACCACACTTTCATCGAATCCCGTGTCGAGGAATAGGTTGATTAGAATAGCATCCGCGTTTGCCTGAAACCGCGTGAAACGCGTTTCATTAAACCACCGCGATCCTCTCGTTAACCTCTCCCATAAACGTTCGACGTTATCGCGTCAGACCTCGAGAACGGGATTCGAGATAGGCACGAAAGAAACGGATGTCTCATCGGTTTTTTCATAGGAAGAGGAGTTTTTAACGGGAAGAAGTACAGTAACGGCTTTTCCCTTACGCTAAATGCAATCTAATTTTTAAGTTACGAAAAGTTTTTCGAATGAGAAAAATTTTATTTCTTCTTCTTCGAATTATTTTTTATGTAATTTAATCGAGGTAAAGATTTGTAAACAACAGTTACACTCTGATTAATTTTTATTAACAAATAAACGAATGGTATTATCTGGTAAAAAAATATTTATAATTAGATTCGAAAACGATGTTTCTTTAATTTTTCCATAAGAGATGAAGTTTCTTAATCGGAAAAGAATGACTAGATATATACTATTTTTTCGTATAACGATAATTTTTCGATCGAAGGCAGTTGTCATCGGTGTCATTTTACGATATAATTTCGCCGATGAAGGGTTGCGTCGACACGGAGAATTTTTTTTCGATTGGTATCGTTTACTTCCCACGATTCCCCGCGACAGTCAGATATCTTTTATTCCCAGGTGGAAAGCTGGGAAGAGGCCAAATAAGTGCCAGGATCCGTTTCCAAAGGAGCGAGAAGCAACTCAAGTGTTGAACTCAATTTTACCAGGTTCAGGACTTTAAACTGGCTATCTCTTGTTTCATTTTGGACATTTTGATAATATCGTTAATTCGCTTTTCGGATCGCGTTTACGTCGTTTTTTTGCACGTCACTCGCGCACGATGGACGTGTCGAGAGTAACAAGTCTTGTTCGTTTTCTCGAATGACTGTACATTTCGCGCGAACGTGCTCGATGAAATAACAAGGAAGTAAAAGATGGAGGGATGATAATTCGTGATATAAGAGATGATGGTTTTTTGAAGAAGAATAAAAAAAAAAAAAAAGAAAAAAGAATTAATAATTTATAACAAACAGTAATGACGTCTACAGAATACATTTTTCTTTCTTTCCTTATTTATCTTTCTCTTTCATTTATTTTATTTTCAGTCACATTCCTCATCACATTTAATTTCGTTATAATTCTTTTCAATTATAATATAACTGTTCAAATGTTGCAATCCTTTAAACGATGTTAACCGAAATGATGTTAACTCGTTATTTTCAATAAAACTTGTTTTAATTTTTACTTCATTATCTCTTGCTCACCAAAGAT